CTGTTAAATAGCCTTGTATTCTTGTCAGAGCTCACATCCCCAGGTTGCTGATGCCACTCACTCCCCCTCTTCTGCCACCCAGTGGTCTTGCTGGACACATAACTCTACCTAAAAAGCCAGTAAATGAGAACCTGTCAGACACAGATATTATTTCTGAGATGCTTTATTTTCTTTGGGATTGATCTGCAGTGGGCAGTGGCTCCTAACTACTGTAATTTTAACTCTCTGCCTGCCTGGCCTCTCTGTCAAAGTAGTTAGTGATCTGTAAACAGATGCTAAAAGGCACCAGAGGACCTCACCATTTAAAGGACTCCTGCAGTGAATTATTTTGTAAAATGAATAGTGGTACCCTAATTTATCTGCTTTCTAAATTTGGGTCTATGGGGGTGTGAGGGCATGCCTATGTGCTGTCTCTAACAGATAAGCAGAGGGAAGGGAATCTGGGGATTCCTTCTGCTCTCCTGCCATACTCAGGGCACCCTACTATATGTAATTTCCTCTCTCACTGACTTGCAGAAAATGTGTGAGATACCCAGCAAGCTAAAAGGCAGCTTTGCTTAAGGCTGGGACTTGGGTGACCTGAGAGGTGAGCTTCTTGATCCTGGGATAGAAGGGAGAGCCGCAGCCTTTAGTTGGAAGGTTTTTATATCCTGTGAAGATAAAGTCAGACATAGCTACACTGCTGGGCCTAAATGCCCTGTGGCCTAGAAAATAATTTAGACGTTTGTTCTGAACTACTTGTAGTAGGTATTGGTTCCTCTGCAATTCAGCCATTAATTTAAAACTTAGTTTTGAACCTGAATTTTATTTTATTTTATTTTATTTATTTATTTATTTTGGGTTGGAGTCTCACTCTGTCACCCAGACTGGAGTGCAGTGGCACACTCCCGGCCACCACAGCCTCGACCTGCTGGGCTCCGGCGAACCTTCCGCCTCAGCCTTCCGCCTCAGCCTTCCAAGTAGTTAGAACTACAGGCACGAGCTACCACGCCCGGCTAATTTTTTGATTTATTGTAGAGATGAGGTCTCGCCAAGTTGCCCAGGCAGGTCTTGAACCCGCGGGCTCAGGAAATCCACTCACCTCAGCCTCCCAAAGCGTGGGATTATAGGCTGATCCACAGAGCCTGGCGAGCCTGAATTTTAAAAAGCCAAATGAGCAACCAGAATGGTAGGGGAATTCAGATGACTTTCTTCTCTCCCAGCAGAGGAACAGAAGGGAGGGCTAAGGTGATGAGAGCAGGACCTGGGGTGGGAGTAGGGTTTAGTACCCTTCACCCTCTAACTGGGAGTCCAGGGAGAACTGAAAGAAAGGTGAAGGTGGAAAAGAATAAAGCCAGTTTCTGCTTCCTGGGGTTGCAGAGATGGGGGCATGCTGTGTCTGTGCAGAAGCTCCTAGTCATTTCTGCCGTATGTGTATGAGAGAGGCAGCCTCCCACGAGGTTTTCGCTTCCCACATTACTTCCCTGAATCCCCTTCCTTTCCCCCCAGTACAGTTAAACTTCTCTTATTTGTAATGTTATATTTGAGAAGATGGCCACTCTGAATAAGTGACAAAACTGAATGACAATGCCTATTTAATGAAATGCATGTCTTCAAAATATATACAGTAAGTAGAACTCAACGAACAAGGCTTTTTCCACTCAGGTCCTTAGGGAGCATGCGTTAATGAATAGATAGGAATGAAAAGTCTGCTTTCTGGTATAGGTTAAATATCCCCTCCTACAGACATATTTCTACCACTAATTTGCTTAGCACACCCTTTCTTACAGATAAAGGAAAACTCAAGCCCAGTTTTTGTTCAAATTATGAAAAAATTCCAAATCCGTAGGGGTTTGGACTAATGAGGTTTTGCTGTACTGCCTCCCCATGTTCCTCCACACAAAGTTCCTACCTCAGACTGGGGGTGGGCTGGGAGGGGGTTTCATGAGGAGGAGGGCGGGCTGGGCAGGGAGTATTCAGGTGAAGCTAGAGGGGTTAGGTTGGGGGTGGGGTAGGAATTTGCTGCTTTTGCTCTGATTTCCTGGTGTGACACTCTGGGTTGAAGGCTTGAAGGGCCCTGTTAGGAGTCGGGGTGAGGGGGTGAGATTCTCTTCTCCTTGATCCCAGAGGACATAACTTCTACAGCAGGTGAGAAACAAAATAGGAGGATGATGGGCACTGTCCTGGGAGGAGGGGGCGGGGCATGGCTTGTGGAGTGGGCTGGCTATGGGGGAGGCCATTTTTAGGGGACTGGCATCCAGGCTGCCTTGAAGCGTCTCAATAAGTCCGCGCTCTCCTCTTTGGTGTCTTGCAGGAGAGGCAGCTTCCCCCCTTGGGTCCAACAAACCCGCGTGTGACGCTGGCCCCACCGTGGAACGGCCTGGCCCCCCCAGCCCCGCCCCCCCCACCCCGGCTGCAGATCACCGAGAACGGCGAGTTCCGAAACACCGCAGACCACTAGCCCACCCAGCATCACAGACCTTCTTCTCCTTCCCTGTGCACCCCACCCTGTAACAGCACCAACCACCAGGACTGGACGTCACCGAGGGACAACGGGATTGCCTCCCTGAATGCATCCTTGGGGGGCACTGATCCCCCACCCTACTGCACCATTTCTAGGAGGGAGAGTGGGGACCCTCAGCTGCCCCCTTTTCCTTTCTGTCGGGGTGCTGCCCTCTCTCTGACCCCCAGGGACCCTTGCCCCAGAACACCACCTACCCTACACAGACCCCTTCACTCCGGGGTGCTATCCCCATCCTCTGCCTCATCGTTCCCCTGAGCACTGGGGGACAGACCCCTCACCCCCACCCTGGGGGTGTGGCACCTCCAAACTTTCAACTTCAGGGTGATTTTTTAGCAGTAACCAGAGCTGACAATCTAACTCCCCTCCACCGCCCCATTTTGGCCTCCCCTGCCCCCCTTGTTATGGGGAGGGGACCCCGGGTGAGGGGGCCCTATTACCCCTTGATTTCTCAGGAGCGTCTGGGGGGGCTCAGCACGCACAAACTCTTTCTTCTCCTACCACTCTTAAATTTACTCCCTCCCCACCCAGAACCCAGATGGGGTGGAGGGGGCCAACCGGGGCAGGGAGGGGGCGGCAAGGGGGGAATGGGAGTTGTCTTCCCTTCTTCCCACACCTGATCTGCTCTCGGCTGGTCCCAGAGCGGGGTGAGGGGGCTTATGCCCCCCCCTCCCCCAGTGTGTTGGGTGGGGTGGAATTGAGGTTAGGATGAGGGGTTCGGGTTTAGGAGGGTGTGTAAGTTGGGAAGGACAGACTAGTTGATCTGCCATACCCTGACACACACAGTCTCCCCTGACCCTCCCCTCTCTCTTCTTGGTCTCTACTCCCAGGGGGAGAGGGGAACTTACTCTAGGAAAAGCCATGTCTCTCTCCCCCAGGGTGAGGGGACCTGTGTTGGAGGAGGGGTGTTGGGGGGCCCCCTTCTATGACTCTGTCCCCGGGGGGGAGGTAGGACAGGGCTGGGCTTCTCTCTCATCCCCCCCCCAATCTCTCTCCACCTCCCTCCCTCCCGCCAGCTCCACAATTTTTCGGTGTTTCTCTGTACATAGTTCTCTGGCGGGATAGGGGAGGTAGGATGGATGGGGTTTGGGGTGGGTAGGCCGTGAGAGGGGAGAAGTCCCTTCTTGGCACCCCCTCTTCCCTGACTGCTGTCCCCTACCCAGCCTTGCCTTCCCATCCCTTCTTGCGTTTGGTATTGAGATTCTCCCAGACTCCACCCTTCTTTCTTTTGTATGGACAGTTCTCCTTCAATCCCATCCTCCTACACATACCCAGCCGGGGCCAAATTTATACTTATATAAAAGTTGTAAATATGTGAAATTTTATCCCTGTGCCCTTTCCTCTGCTTTCCCCACCTCAGGCCCTACCCCTGGCCCCTCCTCTCTTCTTTGGCTGTTGTAATTATCTGGGGTTTGTACTGTACATATCCGGGG